TGCTCCGGTGCCTGGAGCTCATCCTCCCCCGTCTTGTCCTTCACTGACCTTGGTGTGTCCACATGTTCTCACTCCTCCATCTCTGTGCCAGCTGTTGTGGCGCAGTTCTTTTTCCCTGTTCTTAAATATGTTATCACAGAGGCGTTCCTCTTCTATCACTTTACTGATAGGCTCAGCCTTGGCCAGTGGTGGGTCCCTCTTTGGAGCCGGCTGGCATTGGCTCTATCAAACTCGGGAAACTTCTAGCAGCTTCTTGCAGAAGCCACTCTGCAGCTCCCCCCCTGCTGCCACCCAAATCCGGCCAGGCCAACCCAATACAATTTGGCACCAGAATAATATTTGCAGCTTCTTATTGAAATGCCTTTCACTACCATTGTCTTCTATTACTGTGGGTTTTGTGCAAGTTTTCAAGCATTCTCCTGTGTCTGAGTGTTGTTGTTTATGTGTTTGTGGAGGTATTTAATAACCCTGTCTTGAGGACTTGCTGTTGTGTATTGGAAGATAGTACCTTATATTGATTATTTTCCACCTCCTTGCTTTATGTTTATTTTTTTCCCTGCTCTGTTGCTATTAGTTAAATGGTTTCATATGTATTTATTATTTGCTATGATTTTCTTCATTCTCCAGTATAGTATAGGCAGATACTTTTAGGACTAATCTGCCATACCTGTCTATCTATCTATTTTACTGTAGTTTCTGACAGTGGCTAGTAGAAACTGATTGCTGTTGTTAGCTAGTATTACTTTCTTGCTTCAAATCTTTTTTATTAGGTACTTCCGTACTTCATTTTCCTTTGTAGCAATACTTGGCATATGTAACACTTGTAATTTTGCTTAAATCTCCATTTATTTTTTTTAGAGATTTTTCTCAGCTTAACTGCAGCATACAAGGTGTCTTAGTATTAGTTTTACAGAGATCCAACTTCTGCACATATATGAACTCCATAATAACTATGAAGGAAGTAGAAATTTTTCCTGTAGAACAGATTTGAAATGGTTAATAGCACCAGACTGATCAAGTCTTGCTATTACCAAATCACAAATTTCTTGTTAATTTTTGCCAAATTTCTAATGCCTTCTCCTATTAGAAACTCTTAGTTGAAAATTCAGGTTCCAGGAGCACATAAAAAAGGACTTCAACAAACAAAAATATTTTTCTGAAACCATTTTATCAGTTTGAATGAGCCAGTAAAACATTTTGATTAAATCAAGTTTTTCATAGTCTCACTGAGGATTTAATAGTTCAGGTATATGAATTTAGTTTAATGATTCTGCAGAAGCCACATTAAAATACAGTGAGAAGAATAAAGGCCCTCACGCTACCATGTTACTTATAATACAGTCAGTCTAGTAAAAGATAAGTAAATCCACTTCATCTCAGTGACAAAGTGAGTGTTTTTGCTTCCTTTAATGAGGACTAACTTTTCTAAGTTAACTACTTAAAATTCTTTGTAATTTCTGCTTTATTTAAGAACTGTTGATGGTGCATGATGTGTGAGGGGTTTAAAATCAAAAAACCTGAAAATAATCTAGTCTCTTTCACCCACAGGTTAGGGGGGAAAATTCCCAAATGAATTTATGTTGTTCAGTTGTTCCAGATCTTTGTCTTCAGAAAACCTTTATTTTGGGGTCTGAAACTTAGGATAAAGGTCAATTTGTTAGTGAAACTATAATTTTAAATTTTACTACTCCTAACATCTGCACATGTTGGCTAGCAGAGACATGCTTAAGAACATTGCCAATCTTCTCCACCCACATACCCTCAGGAAACTCAGTCTGATGTAAACAGCTACTGCAGTTTTTGTTCATGATATTCAAGTAGATTTAGTTTCTTATTCAGCCTAAATATTTCTTCATGGAACAGTGTAGCATGGTTGTTCAAATCAAGTATGAAATGGTATATAAAATTGTCAAACATGACCAATCTAAAACTGCAAATTTCTGAAGTTTCATGTGTATAGTGTAGTTGAAATTAGCACCTCTGCTGTGGAAATTGCTCATCAAAGAAGCACAGACCATCCAGACCAGACCAAAGTTCAAAGAAGACACAAAGCACCCTTGGTTCCTGTGCGTGTGAGGGTTTATGTGCTTGCTTATCCTTAAAGGCCTGACAAGTATTTTTTAATGTGTATCATCCTTACCTTAAGCATATCTGTGATTCAGATAAACTCCACAAAGGCTAATATTAAAACTAGAAGCTATTTAACAATGATTTCTTTTTAAGTGTATGGAAAGATGTGTAGTCATCATGAGAGGATGGAAAACACTGATTTAGTTTTCTCATTCTTCTTCCTAAAACGATCTTTCTCTTTCTTTGCCTTAGAATGAGCCAGTCTTCACTGGCTATAAGGGCTTAAAAGTAGTGGTTATGAACTCCCTTCTTCTGTTTAAAATCTATGCTGAATTTGAGCCCTGGAGATTTTCAGGAGCATGACAGTTCCATAGGCCCAATGGAAGGGCTGGGAGATCCCTCACAATGTCTAAGTAACTCAGTGAGTTTTCATAATCCTCTTTCCTTAACTGTTACTGTAATAAAAGCAGTGACTTTCTATAGAGATTAGAGTACACCCTTTTTTTTTTGACTCAGCCTTTCTATTTTTGAGCCTTCAACATAATACAAATGTTAATGTAGTGACAGTATCTGCATTTTTCACCTCTATAATTTTGAAGTTGTGCTTTTTCTATCACACTGTTCTTAGGCCAGAAAAAAAGAACCCTGAAATGGTGGGTTGTCCAGTGGAAAAACAATATGTAAAAATTTCTATTGTAAATGTTTTTATGCTTAATATCATAGCATTGACAGTCCTGTATGTAGTGCCTGATAGCAAAAAGATCTTCATGAAGCTACAGAATTTCAGGGAGCATTCTTTTCCAGAAGCTAAGCAAGAATCCTCAGTGTCAGCTGGTAATAGCATTCTTCTTTGTGTGTGTTGAGAAGTACTCTGTGTGGCTTGCCTTACGTGTTTATCACAAATAAAGATGGAGGTGTGAGGTTTAACTTTATAGAGGACAGATAGCGTGATTTTTTTAATTTACTTTCCTCCCAAAGGAGATTTCCACCATTTATGTTCTTTTATTTAAAAAAAAAGAGAGAAAAAAAAGGCAGTGGCTGAGTGCTGCAAAAAAATCATAGCCATGGTGAAAGGTACACCATGCAATCACATTGCTCAATTGTCATTGACTGTAGCTGTGTGGTGACCTATGGTGGTCAGAGCATCCTTTCAGGAGTGTATGGATGCTTTTAAAAATTGCCTGTAAACAGATAATATTAAATAGAAAAAATACTAATCATACTAAAGTATGAGTAAACTAAGTTAAATCTGGTGATTGCTTTAGAAAAGTTAGTTTATCACAAACTAAAGTGATTGTTGCATTTCTTTCACTGGACTTAGAAATACTTGCATATAGACTATTGGTATATGCTTAAGAGTTCTAGGTGCAATTGTACTAATGCTTAGCAGTCCTGTAGCATCATGCTACTGGGTCTTGTGGCTATTTGCAGAGTTAAAACTAAGCTAAACCGTTCTAACCTCTTCCATGGTTCTGAAAAGCAATTTCCAGTAATTTTTAATCCTATATGCAGGTCACTGATATGAGTTGTTGTATGTGTTGTTTTTAAATAACATTTGGGAAAATATCTGTTTCAGAGCTTCTATTATTTATATTGGTTTGGAATACAACTAGTTTATTTTTTTTTCTCTTTAGGAAAGAGAGGTGAGTTGTACTGGCAGATCATTAGTTGACAGCTGAACACAGTTGTGTAACTCCTTTATAAAATTTGCATGTTTCAACGTCCTTGCTTTTCAGAGGTGCTAGTCATGAGTCATTTGTATGTAAGCTGATGAGAGAGTTGCTAAGACAAGTCAGAGCTAATTCAAACAGCTTCATATCTGAAGGTAAACTCAAAAAAAATGTCCTTTTTAACAAGGACTGTAAGCCAATGCCTTTTTTCACATATTCACTGCTAGGTGAGGGCAGGTAAAATTAGAATGTGTACAGCATTATTTCTGAGTTAAACAGTTGCTCTGTATGAAGGAGGACCTTCACAGGACTGAACCATTGTCTGTTACAACCAGTATCTTGTCTCTTAGTTGCTGGTTGCTTTAGGAAAAGACCATTTCAGGATCTTTGTAATGGCATAACCAGACATAGAAATACTGGTTTATTTGTTGTCATGGATTTGATTTGTTGTTAAAGAGAAGATGTATATGCTAGAATTTTATGCTATCTGATAACCTTCAGTGACAAGTGTAATCTTCTGGGGGTTTTTTAATCCCTCTTAAGGTACAGTGTTATCCTATAACACTGATTTTCTTTAAGTCTGTATAAGAAAGCTGTCTTTGCAGAAAAAGCTTAAGTGCACTGTACTATAAACTAAAATGGCTTGCAATTATGACAACATGTAAATGTGCTGAGATACTTGGTAAAAGAAAATTAGTTTAAAACCATGCTGCATCAGTATAAGAATACTATTGTATAAGCTAACTTTTTTTGTAAAGTCTGTCTATCGGAAATCTGGAATGTTCCTTTTTTACTACGTGGTGTTCTAAAAAACAAATTTTCAGATCTTCTAATGCTTGGTACGTTTTTTACACCATGTTGTGCGTTCAATTGTTCTGTACTGTCATTTCAGCAAACCTGCGATCTTGAAAATGTAAAGCCTGAAACCAAGCGATATCTAGATAAATCGGTTCAAGTGGGAAAAAGAAATGGACTCCATCTTCCTAAAGAAGTGCAGAATGTAAATATGGACTTTTAGTTATTAAAGCAAAGGTGACAAACTATTGAATGGCTGAAGTTATACTTGTATAGCTGTAGTAAGCATATATTTACTTTGGTTATTTTAAGGTTTTTTTAATTAATCTGTTAGACATCCCTGGTACTTGGAGGTGGTATGTGTCACCTCTTTTAGCCTTCCAGAATAAAATAAGCCTATCTGGTAGAATTTTGTTATATATTCTGATTACATAGAATGCCTAAATTAAATAGAGACCTCTAAAATGTTATTTGTGAGTGCATGTTTCATAAGTATGGATAGTTTTTACAAAGACACAGCTACTTTAATTTCAATTATTAACCAATGTTGTAAAATGTGCTTAAGATTTTAGCATTTTGTCTAAAAAACCTTGAGGTAGCTTAAAGGAAGCACAAGCTGAGCTGGGAATTTTGGCTCCATTAAGCAAGGATCTACTCAAGCATATAAAAGCACTTGTCACTTCTGAAATTCATGAAGTAAAATTATCAGAATCTGAGATGCTGACATAAGTCTCTTTAAACTGAGTGGTGTTTTATAACTGTTGATTTATGACTGTTGAATAGACTTTACCAACTGTAGAAAATAATCATTCTTAATCCACATTCTTCAGTTAGTGAGAACAGTTTCGCGTGTGTTTGCATTGCTTAAGGGCAACTGGTGCCTCTAAAGGAATTTAGAAGTACTTTATAAGAGACAATACATTTAAGTAAAAACTTGACTAATGATAGTCTCAGCCAAGTTTTGTATTTGATGTGTATTCTACTGGTAACTGCTGTGTTCCTGTGAACAGTAAGGGGTAGAGACATGCCATGAGATATATTAGAAAATGTTTCAGGTGGGCGAATGTCAGGATTTTAAAAAAGGTTTTGGAATGGTTTTGTCTTGTTGGGTATTATTTTCTTTGTCATAACTACAATTCAAGAGGAGTGTTGTTCAGTGGGTTGCATGCATTTTTCTCCCTTGATTCTCTTTGATTTTAGTGGATGTTTCTACACATATATTGTAATTTAGGCTTTTCAGGTAAAAGGAAACAATTCAATGTTAGCACATAATGCTGTTAAGAAAACATGTTTATGGGGTCAGTTCCTTCTGGGTTGAGAATGTATTAGAAATGTTTTTGGAGTGATAGCCCCAGCCCACGGTTCAGTTGCAACTATATAGCTCAGGACCAAAAAAAAGACAAGGAAGGCTGAGAGAAAGTGAATTACAATGCCACCTGCAGTGTGTGTTATTTGCCTAGCTGGAAAAAGTCAAGTACTATTCATGTGGAGGATAGTAATTGCCAAGTTTATTTTAATTTTCCACTAAGTTTAGTTTACCTAATACAGGAAATAAAGATGATGAAGAAAAAATTGAGTGAGCTCTGTATAGATTTTAACAAAAACCTGAATGAGGAAAACACATTTCTTGTATTTTCTAAGGAAGAACTTGGTGAGTAATATGCTTTCTCTTTCAATTTCTTCAACCTTCCAGTTTTACTGCAGTAGTAGGTTTTGCCCCAGTGAATGATGGTTAGATCAAGAGAAATTTTTTTTTCAATCTTCTTCATTTCCTGTTTAATTCTTCCCTAAATCGTGTTTAGAATTATGTTTTCTAGTGTTTATGGTCTCTTCATAGAGTTGTGCTTCCTGAAGTGCTGGCCTTGCATCAAGTTAGCATATCTATCCTACTTTTTTTCCCCATAACTTTGCTCTTCTCTGCTTCTTTTCTCAGTTCTCCAACATCAGGCAATCCCCTGATGTATTATATTCATTGCAATTACCGGAAAAACTTTTCTATCCTGTATTACGTTTTAGCTACTTCAATCATTTAAACTCATCTAGAGATTTCATGTGACAGAGAATTTGGGAATTCATTATATGAAGAGTATGGCATAAAATGTGCTTTAATAATACTAGATTTTTTTTTATGTCCTATTCAGTTTTGATCTGGTAGCCTTACATATATTGCTTTTTTGAGCACAAGTGTTTCCAGTTTTTATTTTGCTTGGCTGTGATTTGAAAAAGTTTTAGGAAGTAGTGGTAAGAAGGGAGACTATATTTCTGTTGGGATTTCTGATGTCAGATTAGATTGCGCTAGAACAAATTCAACAAACTCAAAGCAAATAGAGAGTGGGTAATTCTGGTAAACATTATTTGTTAAATTGTGTTCTATAGAAGGCCTTCCTGATGACTTTATTAAGAGTTTAGAGAAGATTGAGGAAGACAAATATAAAATTACTTTAAAGTATCCCCACTATTTTCCTGTCATGAAGAAGTGCTGCATTTCAGAGACCAGGAGAAAAATGGAATCTGCCTTTAACTCAAGATGCAAAGAGGTATGCCATACATTGACTGTTGTACAGGGTAATGACAGTAAAACAATTAAGCTAGATACTCAAATGGTAGATTTGAGTTCTATATATTATCTAGTGCTATGGAATCAAAATTTATCAGTGTGATCTTTAACAGTTGCTTCCGTGCTCCAGTTTATTCTGATGTCTAAAGACCTTAGAAGTTGATCATGTGTCTTTGTGTGCGCATATTTTAAAGCTTAAGTGGTGCTGTAAATAAGAGTAGGATTTTGATATTGTATCAAATTTCCATAGAGTATTCTGCAGCTGCTTACTGACCCTTTCATCCCAGAGGATCCCTGGCTGTAGCTTCTGTTGTACTTTGGGATTCTTCAGAATGAGAGGAGTTATTTAAGCACGTTTTAATTATGAGATACAGGTGATTAAATATGAAATCACCACATTATATATTGATGAGAATTTTAATTAGATGTTAAAAAACTCTTAATTTTTATACAGGATTAATGATCTGAAAAATAGCTGTAAATGTGCTTTTAAAAATAAGAAATAATTTCACAAACCATTTGTTTGATACTGATGAGACCAGGCACCTAGACAGGTATGAAAATAATGCAAAGGGATTGAAAGGATAGAAGGGTTATTCAGGCAACTGTACCAACCATTCATTAAAGAACAATGCCAGAGTTGAGCTTTTCTACTTGAAATGCTGGGTAAGAGTACAAGATAAGATAAAATGGCACCAAGAAATGAACAGTCTGCAGGTCAGCACATTTAAAGGGATTCACTGATAAAACTGTGAGACAATCTTTGAACCTAGTGCTTGAATAAAGGGTTTTTCCCTGAGAAATCTAACTTTTCCAGAACTGGAGGTTAGCACAGTTACATTTTGAGCTTCTTAAGGATCCTCCACCACATGTAGGTCAGGGCCTGGGGTTTTTTATGTGTCAGATCTCTCTCTGAATGTTATTGTCAGAGTGGCAAAAGAGGGAAATTTGCAAACAAGCTTTGAATGTTGGCACAATAGCTTTACAGTCTGTCTTCACCACTAACAAGCAATTAAGCCTGCTGTCAGACGTTTCACTGTTATCTTTCACAATTAAATGATAAAGGAAATAAAGTCTTTGCAACAGTGAAACATTTGTTATTATCCTGAAAGGAAATGGTATATCTTTTCATAAATTAAAAGAGATAAATTATAATAGGGAGAATAATGACTTGACTAGAAAATTAGCTACCTGCAGTCAAATACTGTGACAAAAAATTACAAGAATCTAGCTAGATTTACATTAGTCTATATATATATCTTCATTTTAATTGTTTGCTGTTTCTTATGACTAGATATTATTCAGCTAATTGTTTTGATAACAGGAATTTTCTGCTTTTGCTTTACAAATTTGCCTCATTTCTTTTTTAGGAGAACACAAAAATTCTTCAACAATTGCTTCCACTAAGGGCAAAAGTAGCAGAGCTTCTTGGTTATAATACACATGCCAACTTTGTCCTGGAGGTAAACACTGCAAAGAGCACAGATAATGTAACAGCCTTCTTAGGTTTGTTCTTACTTATAAATAATGCTTTTATACTCAGGGTGGCAGCATTACTCCTCAGCCAAGATAAATTTAAATATGTAATTGGGTCACAGTGTCCGTCATGTTTAGTTAGAAAAAGAACTCTGTTGCCTCTGTTCTGGCATATATATTTTTTTTAGACCATAGCTGTACAAATTAAATTGGTCAAAAATAGGAAAGTACAAGACAAAAATCAGAAAATAACTGCTTTGTTACAGCCAATACAAGCAAACAGTTATGTCTTTCTTTGCCCCAAAATGCAGTTATCCTAATTTAGAACTAGAATAACATGTGCAGCCTTAGCAGTTTTGCCAGTTCAAGAGGCTGCGTCACAGTTGCAGCTTTTTGTTCCCTTTGGTTAGCTGCAATCTTTTGTGCATATGTAGCCTTAGTGTCCTTTCGTGATACAACTGCATTAAGTATAATGAAAGGTTACAGTATATGATGATGCAGCTTCCATGTGCTGAATTAAAAAACTAAATCTGGAATGATTAATCTGGAATTCAAAAGCCCTCTGATGGAGTGTGATCTGAAAGAGAGATATCTTGAAAATTTTAAACTGCACATTTTATGCATTTGTAGTCATTTTAGTGACCTCAGTGGGATCGCTCTTGTACATTGAGTTAACCTCCACTTTCTGGAGTTATATAGTTCCACAGAACACTATGTCTTCCTTTATTAATATATCTTAACATGGCTTAGGATTGTATACTGATATATCATATAAATAACCCCCCAAAGCAACTTAGTACAGCAGTAAAGTCTGTGTGGTGGTAGTAGGGTTTTTTGTGTTTATACGTGAATAAAGAGTTTCAAATGCACCTGTTCCATCACCTGTAATTCTGTCGCATTTCTCCTGTTACGTTGTGAGCTCAGTTCCGTATTTGGCAATACCAACTATCCATATATTTGTCAATGAGCTTAGACTTAATTTGGATTTATAATGAAATGTTAGAACTATCTGAGTTTTTTAAGTGTACGTAAAGTAGTTTGGACTCTTTTCTATCCATTACATTTTTGTAATTCTAACTGGGCTGATATAATGCTATGTTTTTTCATTTGTTTTGAAGCTGACATACCTCATAATTTAGCAATTATTGTTGTGACTTCAACTTTTTACGCTATGGGATTATACACTTTTTTATTCATAAAAATCGTAATTTGCATAGAGGGAGAATATTCATCAAATTAATTGTCAGCATTAATTTAGTTCTTTTGATATATCCTTGGCTACAAGCATGACAGTACGATTTGCTCTGCTTTGTTCATGTATATTCATGTTTTAAATCAGTGTTCAAAAGCTGATCTTGTGGCTAAGAGGAAAAGCATTTTGTCCTATGACACATTCTGAACTTAGCATAATATGAGCTGCAAACAGTAAGCTTATATTTGCATTCAATATGTTGGATTCATAGTGCTATGACTATTTCATGTCCAAGAAAATCTATACTGGAAAAGAATGGGATCATAGAGATTAATATCCAGTGGAGTTGGTAATCTAGAAGCTAACCATTGTATATGTAAGAACTCTTTAGTCTCTTGTTCTTTTATCGGATTTTAGCTAGAAGTAGGTCATAAATCTGCTTTGAAAAGCCTTGGAAGAAAAAGTAGTGTTTGAGTTTTGTATTGCACTTCCAGTAACTAGTAGTAGTTGTAGTCTTCAGCTGTTTCTGTAGGAACTGAGAGAATTGAGATTGGATGAGCTAAAATCAAAGGTTTCAAGTAAAAGTGACAAGTAAAATCATAGAACAGTTTCAGTTGGAAGAGACCTTTAAGATCATCAAGTCCAACCCGTAGTGTTACTGTTACTTTCCATTTCTGATGACTTTGAAGGAGTCTAAATTTACCAAAATGCTTCACAGTACTACTAGGCCTGTGTGCACTTGTGTATTTTTTATAGCATGTCTGCAATTAAAGCTCATTAAGACAAGAAAACAGACAGTTTGCTTGCTATTAGTCAACAAATGGAAAAGTCGAGCATCCACTCTTGGAACTTGTGCTTAAAGTTACAAGTGTATTTTGTAGGAATACACATTATAGTAAGGAACACTGAAATTGATTCCAACATGATCTTTGTTTCAGATGATTTGAGTAAGAAGCTAAAGCCATTGGTTGAGGAGGAAAGAGAATTCATTCTAGAGTTGAAAGAAAAGGAGTGTAAAGAAAGAAATCTTGATTATGATGGACGAATCAATGCATGGGATCTTCATTATTATATGAACAAAACAGAAGAGCTGAAATACTCCATAGATCAAGAAAAGCTGAAGGAATACTTCCCAATTCAGGCTGTTACAGAAGGTTTGCTGAATATATACCAAAAGCTGCTGGGACTTGTATTTGAGCAAGTAGAAAGTGCTCATGTTTGGCATGACAGTGTTACTCTTTATACAGTAAAAGATAATTCAACAGGAGAAATGTTAGGCCAGTTCTATTTGGACCTCTACCCCAGGTAATTATATTTGTTTTACTTAAATGTTTAAATCAGTTATATTCCTGTCTGCAAAGTGTTCCTAGTTTCTCCCAGTTCCTCTTCAGACTTTATAGGTGTATTTTTTACCCTGTTGTCCAAACTACTAAACAAAATATCAAATAGATCAGGACCAAGAACAGATTCCTATTGAGCACACCTTGAAATGTACTTCTACGTTGATCTGTGTAGCTCCCCATCTCTTTTTTTAGCTATTTACAACCTCATCTGTGTTATGTCAGAGATTAGGAAACTAGACTCATTTGACAGGATTCCTTCTTAGCTAGTCCTTTTTGACTCTCACCATTTTGTTTTGTTTGTTGGAGTTTTTTTAATTATTTTTCAGCAATTCATAAATTGGCTGATACCCTTTTTTGATAAAAATTGATTTAAGACTTCTCTTGGTTAAGAAAAATAGTCAACACAATAGTACATAAATTTGTCTTTTTAAGATAGGCACCTGTTACCTCCTTCACCTGTTTGGTGCTTCCCCCATTTCTGCATATAATGTGAATTGCTGAAGCTATTTGTTATTAAGATTCTGCGGACATAACTGCCCAGTTAATTGCTCAGGTTTAGGGGAAAAAAATTCAAAATTATTTTTCTTTAAAATTTAGGATCACACTGAAAATGCAGTAAATTGTAATCTTTTGTCTCCTGTAATGAAAGAAAAATACTATTTCAGAAGACAGAACCTAGCCTGTCCTGTTACAGTAGGAGTTTAAAATGGAATTGACATCTAAGGTACTTGCAAATGCAGCTGTGGATCTTAAGCTGATGTAAGTCAAGTACTGGTGGGTTTTCCCCTTGTACTCTTAGCAGGTTCTTAAACTTAAGTGAGTCTTAGAAGTCAGGAAAATATGTAATTTCTTTGTGTGAACATTTAAAGAAGCACTGACTGATTGTCCCTGTTCTTGAATAAGCTTCACCATTCTGGTAAGCAGGCTTGTGGTTTGAAGATAGTATCTGATATATTTTCTTACACAGAGAGGGGAAGTATGGGCATGCAGCATGCTTTGGTCTCCAACCTGGCTGTCTTCTCTCTGATGGCAGTAGAATGTTGTCTGTAGCTGCTCTGGTAACCAATTTCACAAAACCAACATCAGATCGCCCATCATTGCTGCGACATGATGAAGTAAAGACTTACTTCCATGAATTTGGTCATGTAATGCATCAGATCTGTGCACAGGTTAGTGATGTTACCATTCCAGTGTAAGCATTACTTCTTTCTCCACTGTCGCAAAGCCAGGTATAAGTCTGTTTTCGTGGTTTCTAATTTTAGTAAAGTACATATGCATTTTATTTGTTATTTTTCCAAGTGGTAGGTTAGGGAGTTTTTTTGAGTGTTTGTTTTAATGTTTATTTAAAACTACAACAATGAATACCTTCTTATGAAAAACACTTTCATAGAAACATACACACCTTTGCATCTGCAGCGTGCAGGTACCTGTGACTAGAGAATAGACCCATGTGGAAATTAAAGAAGATGCTTAGTGGTGACTTCTGTTACAGCTGTCAGAGGGATTTTTATTACTTTTAGTAGCATGCTAGATATTAGAAGCAAAAAAAAAGGTTGCTGTACCTAGGAATGCAAATGAATCATGGATCCAGATCACCTGCAGCATTTTGGCATTTAGTGCTCTTGAAAGCTATCATTCTTGATATCAGAAACATAAAACAGGTCTTGCCTGAGTTATTGTATTTTCTGCTCTCCTGTCTGACAGGGTTCTCGCAATTACCAGAAAAAACTGAATGTAGGCTGCAGATTTTACATCAATGTATCAGCAAAGTTGTAAAGTGTCTGGTTTCATTTTTCCTTAGGTGTAAAATTTCTTCTGTCAGATGATAAATTTATTATTGGCCAAATTAAGGTTTTATGTTTCAGAGAAAGATAAGTCTCAGTATTCATTCGCTAAAAATTTGCATCTCCAAAATAACCTACAAATTCAGACTTTGTGTAGCCCTGTTTTCATCTTCTTATTTATAAGCAAATACCAAATAATAAAATCAGAGAAATATGACACAACTGAGAAGTTAATTATTGACCTTGACCTTAGAGACTAGAACTGCAGAATAAAGAACAGTAATAGAAATTCATATTTCAAATACAGAATTAAACATATTAAGTTGGTGCAAACTTCAGAAAAAGAAGCTAAACTTGCTTAGATATTTTTGTATTAGGTTGAAGGTAAAAATAAAATGATTATTTGGTCATCTTCAGCCTAAAACAGGTGTTTCTGAGCTCAAAAATTGAGAAATAACACCTGTTGTTTCTTTTAAACTAGCTAGAAGATGTTTATAAATTGAGACATATTCGGCATTGGTACAAAATTGGCGGCAGCGTTTTGTTAACCAGTGAGGATGTGCTTGAATGTTGCAGAGCCCCATCTGGGCAGCCCAAAACAACAATTCCAGTGCATAAGTACTTCATTTGCTATGGAATTGCACACGGGTCAGGGAGTTTTGCTTGCTAGTTGGCCCTCCCACTGCTGGGATGGTTTCTGTGTACATAGCTATTGTGGCTAGTGCTGTTGTATTTTATGTAAATCATTATTTGCGCACCTGTCAGTAACTTTCTAGTGCCACATAAGAACGTCCTGTCCTCTGGGATCTGTGTGTGCAAAGCGCTACTTTGTTACATACGATGATTTGTGTAAGCATGTGCAAACTTGACATTTAAAGGATATGCAGGGATTGGACTGGACAGGAATCTGTGAGGTGCTGGTGAAGATCAGCTTTTGGAGAGTGGTACTCCTTGTAATGTACTGGGGCTCTGCTGGAAAATGACATATCAGGGCAGGGAGGGGATCTGTTTATGCTGTTAGGGAAGGGTAGCTATTTAAGTACCTTAAACCAAATGTCTTGCAGTTTTTTGTTAGCATAGTGCACGTGAATATAGGTAAATGAGGATATCTGGAAGCTGAAAAACTGTTGCACTCCTCTTGCCTTTTGCTCTACGCATTTCTGTCACCATTTCCTCCCAACTGATGATTCCTCGTTTTTCTTCGTAGCTGCTCTTCAGCAAGTACAATAGGAAGGGCCAGCCTATTACAATCATGAATTTGAGTAACCCACAAAGTGTAAATGAAGGCAAATGTTTTCCTCCTTTTCTGAAGACGTTAGAGGAGGATACATGCATGCGACATAGCTGTCAGTTCAGTGTTATGTCATATTTTACATGGGGTTTTTTTGTAACCCTGCAAGGAAGTAAGTTAAAAAGCCAGTACTCCTGTGGGCATCTATTGCCCCCATGGAGGATGGAACCTAAGAATATCTACAGCTCTTAGGGCATTTGGCAAACCAAAAGTTGTCTTTTTCTTTTAACGCTTGAAATGTTCTGTTAGAATATTGCTGAGAAGGAAAGATCCCTAAAATTGGGTTAACAAGAGGAGATAGACTTAGAGGACAAGTGTGGAATGAAACCAGATAATTTGATTGGGATTTGAACAACTGTCTTTCAAAAGCAACTGTTTCTTTTTAGAAATATTTTGGGTTTGGAATATATTTTAATGAAGATTTTTAGCTGGACAATTTTTTTCTTCACAATTAATATGTGAAGGGGACTTTTGAAACATGACGTTTGAAATTCATTCAGTAATAGTAGTAGTATCCTGTTCACATTATTCCTTTTGCTGTGATTAACACTGAAATTTTGGCATCTGAAAGTTTATGTCCTGCTAGAAATCCTGGCTTTTATTTTCATTTAATACAGCTTTTCCTTTTAGACTGATTTTGCTAGGTTTAGTGGAACTAATGTGGAAACAGACTTTGTAGAGGTACCTTCGCAAATGTTCGAGAACTGGGTGTGGGAAAAAGAACCACTGCAGCAAATGTCAAGACATTATAAAGATGAGAGCCATGTTGGAGACACTCTCCTTGAGAAACTTGCTGCCTCTAGACTGGCTAATACAGGTATCTCTCTGTCCTCTCTCCCCACAGTATATGTGTAAAAAAAAATGTATTTTTTAAAATTGGTGGGAAACATTAGAGACAAAGATAATAAGCCCATATAAATTTCTTCTGTGTTACATTGATCATTGTCTTTCAGGATTTCTTCGCGTGGTTACCACTGTTAATAAAGGCTATACCACTACTTGCAGGAACAGTAGCAATTCTGATTTTCCAGACTACCCACAGAACTAAAACACCTTTGCATTTTTCTCCATGTGACTATTTTTACCTACCAAATTTACTCATTTAAAGTTGGGGCGGAGCGGGATGGGTTTCTCTCATGCTCAGGGCAGGAACTGTGCAAAAATACAGTGTCAGATTTTCTGTATATATCATCTACGTTTGATTTACATATTTGAGTAGACATTTGAGAGGCATAAATGTCATTTGCAGATTTACTGAAAATACATAGCATATGCCAGACAGAAGTGTAGTAGCCCTGCGTTGCTCAAACAACCTCTTCTCAATCTAGAACCTTAAGTCCATTTTTCTCTGCCTTCCTAGCAGACATACAGCTTTCCCAATCTAGTCCTAAATCTTTAATCCTTCCACATCTTCTGCCACCTTACGTATATCTCCAAACTGAGACTGTAATCTCATGTCATTACCTATTGTCTCATTCTGTCACTCTCACCCCTCTGTCCCTCTAATCAGAACTCACCCAGCATCATAGTCTTACCTGTTCATGACACAATTTCTCATTAAGTCACTGCTGTTTATTTTATACTGCATCCCTGTCCTGAGCAAGAAGTCCTTGTTCTGCCGGCTTCTGCACACACTGTAGCTACATAAACATTTTATCTGAGTAAAGGTTCATATCTTCTAGCTTCTTCAAAAAAACCTAAGGCCACTGCAACAGGAGTTCTTACTGTTCTTGGAAGTGTCTTAGGCTAGATATACTAACTACCATCTGTGCAAGCTCTGAATGAAATGATATACTGGAAGTGATGACAGCAAAAAACCATAACTTTAAATACTGGCATTTGCTTTTACAGTATCTGTTTTTGTTTTGGGCTTCATCTGTGAGGAAAATAACATTTCAAAATACGGAACTTGGAGCTTATGACAGTTCCTTCATTAAAAATATGCCTCTCAACATTTCATAATAAAAGCAATTCAGATGGAAATGACAGAGCTCTGTTTTCTTCTGTGGTTAAAATTCTATCAATTCAGGATGAATGCTGAGATCTCTGCATGAAAGGGCCTAAAGAAACTCTAGGTACTTTGATTCCAGTTAATTAAATGTTCTTACCCCATTAGGCCTTTTAACCCTCCGTCAGATTGTTTTGAGCAAAGTTGACCAAGCACTGCATACAAAGCTATCGGTTGACCCAGCAGGTGAATATGCTAAATACTGTATGGAGATTCTAGGAATTCCTGCCACCCCAGGTATGTCAGTATGAATCTGTTATATGGCGTGTCCAAATGGTTTGATTAAACATGCTTTTCTTTCCCAATAATCATTAGCATACAAAAAAAAAAGAGAGTTATTGTTAATAAAAGAATCTACTTCACAGAATCACAGAATGTAAGGGCCAACCCCTTAAAAGATCATCTCCTGCCTGAGCAGGATCACCTGCAGTAGGTCACACAGGAATGCATCCAGGTGGGTTTTGAGAAGGAGACTCCACAACTTCTCTGGGCAGCCTATTCCAGTGCTCTGTCACCCTCACAGGGAAAAAGTTTTTCCTAATGCTTTTGTGGAACCTCCTGTGCTCCAGCTTGTACCCATTGCCCCTTGTCCTGTTTTTGGACATTACTGAGAAGAGCCTGGCACCATCCTCCTGACACTCACCCTTTAGGTATTTATAAACATTAATGAGGTCACCCCTCAGTCTCCTATTCTCCAAGTTTAAGAGACCCAGCTCCTTCAGCCTTTTTCCATAAGGGAGACGTTCCACTCCCTTCATCATCTTTGTGGCTCTGTGCTGGACTCTCTCAAGCAGTTCCCTCTCTCTCTTGAGCTATGGGGCCCAGAACTGGACACAATATTCCAGATGTGGCCTCACCAGGGCAGAGTAGAGGGGGAAGGAGAACCTCTCTCAACCTGCTGGCCACACGCCTTCTGATACACCCCAGGATGCCATTGGCCTTCTTGGCCACGAGGGCACATTGCTGGCTCATGGGCATCCTGCTGTCCAACAGGAACCCCAGGTCCCTTTCCCCTACGCTACTGTCCAGGAGGTCGGTCCCTGACCTATACTGGTACTTGGGGTTGTTCTTTCCCAGATGTAAGACTCTACACTTGCCCTTATTGTCTTTCATTAAATTTCTTGCCCACTCAACTCTCCAGCCTGTCCAGGTCTCTCTGAATGGCAGCACAGCCTTCTGGTGTGTCA